GAAACAGAAAATGGGCGGCTCAAGGTTTGAATGAAGGACATTGAAGAGCCTTAAGAACCAAACAGAAGTTGCATTCCAGCAAAGGAACTAGAAGAGGACGACAACTAAGCAGTAAAGCTCAGATAGGTCCACAAGATTTAGAGGAAAAGAGAATGGTCAGGGAAATGATAGAAGGTCCATAACTAAACCACGTTGTAACTGGAAGTCAAAGGAGTGAAAAGGGGAAAAAAGGAAACAAGATGAAGAAATGTTGGATGATCTGGAGAAAAAAGAAAAGGAAGTGGCAAATGATCAGCATCAGTAACTTATCAACCTGCATGGATAAATTATAAGGGTGACATGGCTAGCAAGATAAAAACTGCCTATCTTGCAAGAGACAGGACAGAAGCCACACATGAAGATGACAATGTGAAACACTGTGATGAAATTTGGATATCCGAGGCAAACACATTGTGAATTACAGACAGCACCCTGGAAGGTTGTTTAAGAGGATAGTCAAAAAAGATAAAAGAATGGATCAATCCAAACTCAGAGGGAAATTGCTAATGCATTGTTAAAAGCAACCCAAATTGGGAACATGTCTTCAGGAACACCAGATGTAAAAACCACTCTGTGTGAAGTATTTGGTCTGGACATCACTGCCAATCTGCCACCAAATTCAATACACAGAAAACCAACAACAAATATTGTTATCATGAGCCCAAAAGCTTGAGAATAAGAAGCAGAGGGCCCAAGAGTGAGTACCTTCCTACTGATAGATGTAAAAAACAACAGTAGAGCTGTTGAAATAGATCAAATCAGGATGTCTATAGAGTTGTAACAAAAGATATTGGCAGGTCCATGGAACTTCCTGCATCTCTAGGAGATCGATGTGGAAAGGCTATTCTGCAGGAGACCAAGCACAAAAAGGGTGAAGGTATCCAGAAGTGCATCCCATATAGATGGAGAGGTATGTATGAACAGGTGGAAGTTCAGAGTTGCGTGGAAATTTATCAGCAGCCATAACAGTGAGAGGAAGGAGATTGAAGTAGAAAAAAGAGAGAAAGCAGTGGGTCACAGGGTACATACCACTGATCTGCTAGAATCCACTGCAAGAAAACAAAAGAGGCAAAAAATTCCAAAAAAAGAACATCATGCAGAAGTAAAAAAGTAGGCATGAGAGCTAAGGAAACTAAAAGATTTATATCTTAAAAATGTAAAGGAGAAGGTTGAGCCCATCCAACAGATGAGATAACATAAATTCTAAATTGAGTTAATTATATAATGAATAGGAGTCATTAATGACATAGGAACCTGACCAATCAACACAAACAAGCAGACTTCAAAAAGAGAAGGGAAGTCAGTAGATGCTACCTCTCAGGATAGAGCTAGAAGTTGCCAAACACCTAGATAGTTGTGGGAATGCAGACCTCATGAGTGCAGTCTTCATGTATTGCTATCAGAATTTAGTGAGTCCTCAACGACCAAGAAGACTTCTAAGAGAAACTCTTTGAGACCTAAGTGTCTTCTGCAAAGTGAATCCATAAGTGGACAAAATCTAAGAGCCAGTCTCCCACAGGATCAAAGCTGGGGGGTAGTACAATAAACAACTGATTAAAAATCCCCAAGATGGCTGATCTCTTAAAAGGGGGGCCTAGAATGAGGAACTCCTCTAAATGTCTGCATAAAGAAAGGGTGTCAAATGGAGTTCCCCGAGATAAAACAGCATTAGTAATACCCCAGAAGAGCAGATTGAGGGTTAAAAGAGTCAAAGTATGAGAAAAGGAAAAAAATCTCCAATAGGGGAGAAGAAATTTAAGGGAAAACTAAGAAAAAGGAAGAAGTCTAATCATAGGTCACAGAAAAGAAATTATAAGTTCATGGCAGACATGGCAATTGAGCTAGTACAAAGCATAAACTAAAAGAATCTGCAATAATGCAACAAACAGAAGAGGGGAAAGCATCTTATGAACTCATCCAAGAAACAGCAAAAAGTGGAGTAAAAGACCAAATATCTGAGTTACCAGAGTAGCAAAAGCCAAAGGTAGGCATTACCTGATCCTAGTCAGGGATAAAAAATAACCAGAAGTAAAGGCAGGTTATGGAAAGAACTAGTAAAAGACCTTCAAAGGTAAGGCAGGCTCAAAAGAAGGTACAGAAGTAGGAAGCCAAGCGTCCTAGTTTTGAGATGAACCAATCATATGATGTACAGTGGTGGTAACATCACTTACTGTCTGAGTAATTTAATTCAGCACTGAAAGAAAATTGTGGATCTTGGCAGGTTTCAGAAATGCAGATATAAGAAATTGTTTGTAATAAGAATCATGAAAGTGATTTCATGAAATTTTTTTTAAAGATCTAGTTTGTCCATGGTACTTAGTCCTTGGTAATTTTATATTGAGGAAAATTATGAATAAGTATCAAAACCTGAACACTGTGTAACTTTATTGTCAAAGGAACCATATCTAAGAATCATGAACACATGTAAAATTTTGTAATTTGATTAAGAGAAGAATTCAAATTCAAATTATAATAGTTAATATCAGTAGCTACAACTGAAAGTTTAAAAAGTTGGATCCTTCTTTCATGAAATCAAGAAAATAAAGGGAATAAAAATGTTTCTTTTAATGTTAACTAAAAGTTTAAAATAATAAGTGCAAAAAAGTCTGTAAGTTGTTATGAAAAACACATAAAGTCACCAACATTGCTAAGGAAAGAGTGTGGTAATGCACAATTTGCTCAAAGGAGCAATTGCTCATGGAGGATGTATCACTCTTTTTATTAGTGAAGAGGTATAGTCTAATGCTAATTGCATCATAGGTGAGTGAAATACATGTAGGGGTGGGAGTTTTGGTCGAGGCTTGGTGCATGCACAAAAATGTTTTTGGCAATGAAGAATGGTAATAGCTACGAGTTCTGTAAAGAGATAAGTCGCATTTCTTAACATATATCTCGATCTTATCAATTATATTTTTTAGTTTGTTATATAATTTGTACATGAACTTTTACATACACAGAATTAAAAGATAGCAAAAATAGGCATTCCCCTGAAAACTTTTCGTAGTGACAACAGATGAAAACTCACAAAAATATAAATAAAAGTGATCACATCCTCCTTACATAAAAGAATTCCCTGTTGTTCCATACTACCTGCAAACATTTTGTGTTGATCATACTTGATTTTTTCCATTGGCCATCAGTTTGCTGAATTAAGTCTGCTTTGTACTAGGAAATTTGCTTTAAGTAATGTAATATCAACCATGCAAAGATAAGTTAGTATAAATGTACAGTTCTAGTTTCTATCGCTCAATGTTAAACAGAGAGAAATTGTAATTTCAAAAAATTTGTTACTGCTACTGATTATTGCTACAAAACTAATATATCAATCTGTAAGCAAAGCTTTATATGTTATTTAAAAAAAATAGACTATATCCTGATATATGCAAAACACCACAGTAACAAAAACTAAGCAAAGCTGCACCTATCAAACTCAATAAGAAATCAAATGAAACCAATTTAAAGTGTTGCAAAGGATTCATAGCTGCCAGTCAGACTTTTAAATACTTCTATTTAAGTAATTCTAATTATGGATTAAAAAAATCTATTCTTTTCACACTGTTAGGAAAATGTAATCACAAATGAGTAGCTTGCTGAGTCACCATTTTATCTGAATAATGAGGATATTAATTTAAGAAAATTATGATTAATAATATATGATGTTAAATAAATAATATAGTGTTGAAGAAAGATAAAGTATGGTTGACATATTATTATGCACTTTACTTTTGCTCAGAAGTTATTAATAAAACTTACTCAGAGGGTTGGGTAACTTATATTAAAATGATTTTAGAGCCTCACCACATCATTACAGCATTTTACCACATCTGGTATACTTTATTTGATGACCATGCATCTTGACAGTAGCCTTACAATGTAGTTTCCATTGCAAAAGGTTCTGTTATAATGAAGTCATATCCAAAACACACAACTCTTCACTACATGCTTTCCATAATTCATCTAGAACATGAAGGCAGTGATTTCCCAGAGCCTGTTTCAACAGTCCAATCATACAAAAATATATAGGCACTGTATCTGGCAACTTGATTAGTATGTGTTCTTAGGAAATGAGTACCCATTTTAGTCTCCAGCTGCTTAAGGTATGTGATGGTTGAACAAAGGATATGACTGTAAGCCTTACTTAAATAAACATGCATCTTGTTGGCTCACTTTCAGATAAAGACCTTGATTATGTTGCATACTTTTGCTTGAGGCATCTAGACAGCTTTTACCATTGACCTTTATGTTTGTAGATTCCCACCTGTTACAAGATGCTGCACTTTATTTACCATAGCTGGAGTACAACTTGTTGCAGGTCTCTTTCTGGATGATTCTTGTGCTCCAGGTTGATTCATATTCTTTTGTTGTTCAATGCCATTAAGTACAAAAGATATTCTCATTTGAACATATACATCTTTATGATCTGAGTGTATAAATATTTTGCTTTGGAAAGAGTTGTTATTCTCCCTAAAGCTGATCAATTTTCAGTGGTATCACATAACCTACAAAATGGCAATCAATGACAAAGTGTAGTTTAATAAATTCTGTTCCACTATGATTTTATATTGGCAATGGTTGTCATTTACTTTTTTGATTTGCAAATTAAAATTGTTTTAGTATAACATACTTAACCCTCTAGTTTAAAAGCTGAGTAAAAAGTGGAAACATCAGTTTTACATGTAAATGGTAATTTAGACTTTGTATTTTCAAGTCTATTGCTCATAAGTTTAAATTAATAAGGAAGATTATTTTACTTTATATATTTGTTCTAATTTATTTCTAAATAATTCATGTGAAATGAATAAGTGAAAGTTAAGATTGCTAAATAAAAGTTAGCTTTTAGTTGTTTTATTTCTATTATAAAGAAAGAGAACTGTTTATATTGTCCTTCAAAGTAAAATGCTTGTAAACAACAATAGTCTACAAAAAAAAATTCTTCATTAAAATATTTTTTGTTTTTTTAGATTATCCAACCAAAAGATGTGCTTGATTTATTTTGTTACGGCCTATCAATTATCATGGCAAATATGGAGTCCATCAAAGATTATTGTCACTTAATGGTTATACGTTTCCCTAATGCATTAGAAAATGATACCTTACTTGGTATTGTTCCAGATAAACGTTACAGTATTCCAGAACACTTAGTCTCCCTCTACTTGGATTTGCATGACAACAAAATATGTCATCACTCCTCACAGTATCAAAAGATATTAAAGAAATGGGGTTCGTGTAGTGCTTACAAAGATTTACTAAATGCTGTTGAAAACTTGAAGTCTTCTGTTGAGCCCACCCATTTGGTAATGATAAGAGATGCTCAGCGAAACAGAGAAATGGAATACGATGTCAACAAAGAAGAGTATAGCACCCACTTTTGAGAAAAATAGTTCATTATGTATAAATTATGAATACAATGCACATTTTACCCATATTCGTTTTACAAAAAAAAAGTTGTTTACATCTACTATTGATTCATATTGTATGATAAATTTCTAATATTGTTGATTAAAGTAGAAGTTGTTTGTTATGCTATTAATATACCCGCTTTACTTATGAATTTGTCAAATAAACAAAATAATGGTTTCTTAGTAGACATTTTTAATAATGCTTAGTCATGAAAATATTTTAGACGTTATGGCTTAATGATGAATTCTATATTTTTTAAATGTTTGTTCTTATGCACAAAGCTACTCATTGGGTTATCTGTGCTGTGGCCCTACAACTCTGGAAGAACCTCTATAATTCATATGATGGTGGGAACCTATTTTCTTTCTTACAAAATAACATTCGAGACAAATATTAAACAAATAGCTCATTTTTTCATCCAGTGTTAAGTTTCCAAACTGCATGTGATGTACACTCACCTATAAGCCTTTGTTGTATGTAAACAATACACATCACACTACATGTGCCAAGTTATTGGCAATTCATTCGTAATCAGTCACAATGCTGACTAATAGATGATAATTAGCACCAATTATTATGGAAATAGGCAGTTAAGAAACTGGGCGTTTTTTTATTTTTAATGGCAAAAATACTCAAACAGTAATAGATTTACATTATAATGCACACTCAGTTATTGAACATGTAAAAGTATGGTATTTTTCTTTTAAATTATTCTTTGTCTTAATTTTATTGTTATGGAAACTAGAATTCTCTAACAAATGGATTGGTATGAGGAGTAATTTGGGAGTTGACTATTAATACAGTTCAAATAAAGTGTTATGTATTTGTGTTGTTTTAAGTTTTCAAACCTTTGGTAATAACATAACAATGTTTTGGGACAACATTGGACCTATTGACCCATCTCGGCTCTTCCATCCTCTAATCTATATTAGAATAATTAAAGAAAAATCTTAGAGCCAGCCCTTATCTTTCATATATTTATCAAGCTTTTTCTTAAACTCACTTAAATTTACTGCCCATATAACATCCGAAGGCAACCCACTCCAAAGACCAACCACCCTGTTAGAAAAATGAAACTGTCTTAGCTGAAGATGACTCTTACCTTGCCAAAATTTATATTTGTGTCCCCTAGTCCTAACTATTGTTAAATATAAAAAAAGATGATAAATCAACACACTCAATTCCCTTTACAATCTGAAACACCTCAATCAGGTCCCACCCTAATTCTTCTTTTTTCAAAAGAAAACAATTTGAGAGATTTCAAATTCTCGTATGACAATCCCTTCATCCCAGGCACCATTCTGGTAACCCTTTCCAACAATTCAGTGTCTTCCCTAAAGTAAGGAGCCCAAAACTAAACACAGTATTCCAAATGTGGCCTAACCAGTGACCTATGAAGATAATACTTTTATCATTTTTAAATTCAGAACAAGTAGAAGGATTTTTCAGTGACCTGTGACTAAAGGTGTATACCAATACCACTTTTTCTTTGGTCAATACTGAGCCCTATACTAATTTCAAGTGGACCAATACTATGAAGAATGTTGATAAATACCAGATAACAGTCACATAATGGAAAATATATTGCCAAGTTAATACATATACATCCCTTGCTATTAGGTTTAACCTTTTTATGCTTTAAAGAACACGTGCAATGATATCTATTTATGAAATGATGTTGTTCAAACTATGTTATGCAGTTATGAAGATAAGTTTAACTCACGTTTACTTTTTACAAATTTTATGTATAAAAGAAGTAATTTGTCAAAAATCAGATAAGTCTGGCTTGTACAAACAGTAACCTGCAAAGTAGTTCCAACCACAAAGAAAAAATCAAAAATGAAGATAAAACTAATTTATTGTTTTTAGTGCCTTTGACTTTGAGGCTTAATGTTGGACATTTAAAATCAATAAACCTGTAAAAAGCATATTTTTCCAAGGATAGCTATTGTATTTTCTGACTCAAAATACCATGTGATTTGTTGTGGTACTTGGAAGAGTAACATATTTTCCATTCACTTTTAGCTTAGAAAGGTAAACTGTTTATCAAATTTACATGCTTACAGACCTTTACTAACAAGAAATCCCCATCTTGTGCAGTACTTACCCCCATTCATGTGCTAGTTAAACATGGTTAAAGAGTGTATCCCATTTGGACATTTTTGGGAATTATCTTAGGTGATGGACTTGATGATGTCCCCCTAGCAGAGCTCCTCTGCCCTGAACCTACCAGAGCCAATGTCAGCTGAGGAGTACAAGGCTGTGGATGTGACAGATGCCTAACCCACAACACCCTGAATGATGGATGGAAGAGCTGCCTCATCCAGGAGGCCAATGCAGAACCCACTAAGCCAGAGCCTGCCAGCAATGATGAGGTCAAGCCTGTTCCCTCCAGGTAGCTCACAGACATGTTGGCTGCCCTTCAGGTCCATTTTCTGCAGAAGAATTACAGTTAGACCCTTGACCTCCTAATGGCCACCCAGCAGCAGTTCCAACACGAGAAGATCACCAAGTGCACTTCACAGCCTACGCTGGACAGCTTTGTAAGACATGTGTAAAAGGAATGCAATATGAACTGTGCTAGGACACTTTGTGATTGTGAACTGTGAAAGGACACTGTGTGATTATGAATTTCCAAAATGATTTGTGATGATAAACTCTATTCAGAGTCCCTTGTGGATATTTGCTGCAGGCTATTGTTTTTAACGCTTACTGTTGGTTGGCATAACAGTCATATTGTTGAATGAGTTTTTTTACTGCAATGTTTTGTTTGTGTTTTCTACATTTAATAAAATATGTGTTGTTTATTTCATAAAATCACCTATGTCTGGTTTACATTACAGCAGTAGCCAGGACCAGTTGGAATGTAAACAGTTTGTTGATCACAATTTTACCCATCTAAACAGGTGACTAGAATTTGAAAAGTTTGGTTCTCAAGAGCTTGAAGTCTACCATTTCATGACATTTAAGTTGTTGAGTCATTAGGCTGACAACTTTGATTGCAATTGAAAAAGGCAGGAAAATGCATGCTAAATTCTAGTGTCATAATTTCTTATTAAATTTCTCCTTATTCAATGATATGAAAAAGCCTTCTTTCAATTGAAATCATCATGTTCAGACTGATGATCCCCACTTCTACTCTCCCATTGATACCTTACCTTAATTAATAAATGCCAGGCATTGAAACTAGCAACTACAAATCATGTAATGGCCACTTCTTGTCATTTCTACATCTAATATTGATAGAAATGGCAGAAAGTTTTCTCATGATTTGAGTATCATTACTGCCAGGTATCACCACATGTGCAAATAAACAACAGTGCCATGCCTTGGCCTCCGATATTGTGTAGTGCAAGAAAAATTCATGAAGCTCATTGTTGTCCTAAGTTTTGCATTTATCTGTTAATCAAAAATACAGTGTAGAATTCTATTTTTTGGACAAGAAATGCAAACATAGATATGTAAAGATGTTATTACAATATTTTGTATCAAACAG